TAGTTTCAGAAGGATAGGTGTTAACTCTTCTCTAAATGTTTGATAGAATTCACCTGTGAAGCCATCTGGTCCTGGACTTTTGTTGGAAGTTTTTAAAATCAGTTTCAATTTCAGTGCTTGTGATTGGTCTGTTCATATTTTCTATTTCTTCCTCGTTCAGTCTTGGAAGATTGTACCTTTCTAAGAACTTGTCCGTTTCTTCCAGGTTGTCTATTTTATTGGCACGAAGCTGCTTGCAGTAGTCTCTTATGATCCCTTGTATTTCTCTGGTTTCAGTTGTAACTTCTCCTTTTTCATTTCCAATTTTATTGAGTCAAGCCATCTCCATTTTTTTTCTTCATGAGTCTGGCTAAAGGTTTATCAATTTTATCTTTTCAAAGAACCAGCTTTTAGTTTCATTGACCTTTTCTATTGTTTTCTTCATTTCTATTTCATTTATTTCTGCTCTGATATTTATGATTTCTTTCCTTCTACTAACTTTGGGTTTTGTTTGTTCTTCTTTCTGTAGTTGCTTTAGGTGTAAGGTTATGTTTTTCTTGTTTCCTGAGGTAAGACTGTATTGCTATAAACTTTCCTTTTAGAACTGCTTTTGCCACGTCCCATAGGTTTTGGATCGTTGTGTTTTAATTTTCATTTGTCTCTAAGCATTTTTTGATTTCCTCTGTGATTTCTTCAGTGATCCATTCGTTGTTTAGTATGGAAATACAAATGTGGAACTCGGGTGAGAGTCTAGACTGAGAAATTTAGGAATAATAGGTATAGATGGCATTTGAAACAATGAGATAGGTGAGGTGACCTAGGGATAAAATATAGAGAAATGGTAATAAAAACTGAGCTGTAGGTCATTCCAACAAGAGATTGAGAGGTGGAGGAACCACCAGCAAGACAGAAAGGAGGCTTCCAGCAGTGCAGAAAAGAAAGCAAAAGGCAGACTTTTTTGTAAGCCAAGTGAAGAAAGTATTTCAAGGAGGGAGACTCTGTCATATACCTTTAGAGGCTGAGTAAGATGAGGATTTTTATTGAGAACTGATCTCTGGATTTGCAACATGGAGACTGCTGGTGACCCTGATGGAGGTACTTTCAGTAAAGTGGTGGGGACAAAAGCCTGATCTCCCAGAGAGTGAAGTGATTAGAGAAATAGAGGAGGCTGCTGGGCAGTTGAGGGTTAACTTGATGTCTGAGATTATGAATGTAAAGATCTGTCCTAGCAGTCATGGGTTCTTCATGAACCATATTCAGCTGTTCAAATGTAGGCAAAGGATAGGCAGAGAGCTGTATTTAACCAGAGCTGTCCAGTAAGTATGAAGGAGGCAGTTGAGGATGTACTGGTTGATGGGCCAAGGAACCTAAGCTGAATAATGAGGGGAGAACCTAACAGTGAAAAAGTGGTAAAGCAATGGAGTGGAGCTCTAGGTATGGTCAAAGCCCAATTTATTATGCTCATAAACACAATGTATATACACGGACCACCCAGTCTCTTCTGGGTGAGTTCCACACAGGCTCAGTGCTAATCTGGTTTATCAAGAACTAAGTACAACAAGGCTGGGTAAATACATCTTAAATTTTATTATTTGGTTTACAACAATTCAAAGATGGCAGATGCCTTTTATAAATGGGTATACTATACTAGAGCTATATTATAAGGCAAGGAAGCCCAATTACTGAAAGACCCTTCAAAATGTACTTCAATTGGCTACATCATTGATAGTCTACGTCGTGGAAATTTTGATGTCTCCCAGAAGATACATTACCATCAGTTTCGATTTTATTAGGTTTGAAGAAACTTTATTTATTTATTTATTTACTTTTGCGGTACGCGGGCCTCTCACTGTTGTGGCCTCTCCCGTTGCGGAGCACAGGCTCCGGACGCGCAGGCTCTGCGGCCATGGCTCACGGGTCCAGCCGCTCTGCGGCATGTGGGATCTTCCCGGACCGGGACGCGAACCCGCGTCCCCCTGCATCGGCAGGCGGACTCTCAACCACTGCGCCACCAGGGAAGCCCGAAACTTTATTTTTTAAAGAAAAAAATGATTGTAGGGAAAAATTAAAAATGTCTTTGAAAAGCCTATCTGTATTTAAATAAACTGTCTGATAAATTAGTGAAGGGAAGAAGTTTAGAAAGCAAACTTACGTTGTATAAAAATAAATATTGTGAATTTGCTGTATGTAAGACTGATAATAAATGATTTTTGTGGGTAGGCAAAGTTATCTTATTGGTTCCATACTTATGTAAAGGCTTTCAAAAAACCAGTAAATTTTTTAAAAAGGAATTTAAATCTCTTTTATAAATTAATTCAGCTGATTGGTGACTGATTTTTCCATGTCTTTATTTTTTTTTCCCATTACATGTCTTTTAGACATTTTGTTGCTGTAACCAAGATTGGGTAGCAAATGAGAGAGGGGATAGAACTCATGTCAGTCATCCTAGTTATCTATTAGCATCTCATGGAAAATGGCTAGATCTGGGAAGGGTGGTGGCAATTAAATATTCTATGAAATAAGGCATTGTTCTTTCTTCCAAAGTATTCATTTATCTTTGATTTCCTTGGTCTTAGGAACATGAATAATTTAGAGTTGGCTATACTTACCATCAAGATATATTAAATGAAGATTTCCCTGTCTGAAATTGGAGAGATGTAGCAATACTCTATTCTACTTTAGAAAATCCTGTTTCTCTAGTTGATTTCTTCTCAGTTAATGAGTTAGGTACTCTTGGTACATTTGGCGGGTCACAGAAATAGCACTGGCTTAGGAGACTGGAGACCTGTACTTAATCACAATGTGGGTACTCTGTAGCTGTGCAACATTAAAAATGTACCTTCTCTGATTTTCAGTTTCTTCTGCTGTAAAATAGAGATAGGAATATCTACCTGACCTATTTCACATGTACTGTTGTGAGTACTAAATAATACATGTATTTGAATGTGTTTTGGAATATGTAATGCACTAAAGTTGTTGGTAAATGCTTTAAAAATGTGGTTTGCTGTGCACTTCTCTAGGTTAAAAAAATGAAAATAGAAATCACTGGGAAACATAAATCCTTCTGAATCATATAGCCCAAATGTAAATAAGTAATTTACAAATACTTTACAATAAAATCAAAGAAATTATTCATGGATATTTTAAAAATAAAAAATCTTGCAGCTAAATATTCATCAACTTAATCATTCTTTCTTTTATAAGAATGTTCACTATGTGACAATATAACTCTCCAAAGGAGAAATTCTATAATTAGTTCAGATCTCTGCCTCAGTAGCTTCATTATAAGGCAGAAGAGTGGAATAAAGTTTCAAAATAAGCAAAAATATATAACTCTAAACCACAGTCCCCTTATTTTAAAGAGCTTAATAGGAACACTTCCCCCAATATATTTATAAACAACCTACTACTTATATAATGTTAACACTAATTGACAACTTAAACCACACAATCAAAGTCAATGTGCATTTCTTCTTCCCTTTATCAGTTAAATGATTAAATATCTGACAGTCTTGAGAGATTCCACTGCATTTTTTAAAAAATGAACTATATGTAATATAAAAATGCTTACCTATTGAATAACTAAGGTGTTGGTCAAGTGTTCAGAATACAGAGTTTTAGAAAAATATTTGAGAAACATAGCAGTATACCTGATAGTCTCCCACGTAGAAATCAGCCTGTGCAAACAGATGATGTGCACAGGCATGAACAATAACCAAAGTAACCCCACCAATTTCTCCTTTAAAATGGTAAGCGTACCAGTTTCAATAGAGTTCTTAAGAGGAGCGAATGAATCATTTGCTCATTCTAAATCTTATGATAGCTTGGTTATATTAAATGGTACAGTTTTTTTTTTTTTTTTTTTTTTTTTCTTTTTTGCGGTACACGGGCCTCTCACTGTTGTGGCCTCTCCCATTGCGGAGCACAGGCTCCGGACGCGCAGGCTCAGCAGCCATGGCTCAGGGGCCCAGCCGCTCCGCGGCACGTGGGATCTTCCCAGACCGGGTCACGAACCCGGGTCCTCTGCATCGGCAGGCGGACTCTCAACCACTGCACCACCAGGGAAGCCCAAATGATACAGTTTTTTTTAATGAAAAGAAAGTATTAATTATAAGGTAGGTAACAAATACTAAATTCTGGCCAGTAGCAAAATTTTTGCACCACGACAAAAGCATACCAATAAAATGCACTAAAGAATAACCACAGAATGCTAATATCCCACTATGATCTTTGCTATCAACAATTTTTAGCAAAGATTTAGCTCTCCATCAAAAGCTTCTGTCTCTCTCTTTCACACACCACACACACACACACACACACACGCACACACAAGCACGCATGATTTCTCACACCATCTTGTTTCTACAAACACAGCTCAGGTTGTCTTATTTTGGACTATTAAGTCTTCAGAAAAAGATCAACATTCTTTCAACAAATCAATGATCAAAAATGACCCACTGATGGGACATCCCTGGCGGTCCAGTGGTTAGCACTCTGAGCACGGGTTTGATCCTTGGTCAGGCAACGAAGAGCCCGCATGCCACATGGCACGGCCAAAAAAAAAAAAAAAAAATGACCCATTGCTTTCATTAAAGGCCATTCTGTGTTTAAAGGGTAGCCTGTTGAGAACTTGCAGAGTTGAAATTAAATTAGCATCAGCACAGGGAAATTCATACAAACAGGTAAAAGTGAGTAAAAGTGAGTTTATCTCATACTCAGCAGAACATATTGAGGTCAGGTTAGGAGCAAAAAGTAATTGGTAAATGGATCCTCAGCTGGCAGAGAAGTGGGCATAGTTAGAACTATTACACGCTTGGTTGGGCCGCTTTCATTTTAAAGTCTGCTTTGCAGTACAACACATCTGTGAGACAAGAAAGGCTAAACCAGAACTCTGTTTCCTTTAACGTGGCATTATGAGTTAAACAGTAATACATTACATTTCTGCTACGTCTGTGGTTTTAAAATTATTCATTGTAAACATCCTATATTCTTTCCTATTTATTTCAGAGCTTGAGTCTATGTCTATGTCAAATTATCATTTATTCTATGAAAAGCAGCACAAATACTGTTCATTCTGGTTTCAGCACAAATTCTTTAAAAATAAAATGTGAAGGCCATTTAATGGAATCAGGGCCAAATGAAGATTACCCTTGCAGAAGTCAAACTACTGAAATAAAATTTTTGAAAAAGAGCTATAAGTGGTTGTCTTTGTGTTTTCCTCCTTGGTAACTTGAGAGCGGTTTGTAGGATTTATTAGTCTCCAACATCTCCATCTCGATCTCCGATAAGCCAAAGAAAATGAAAACTTAAGGCTAACAAGGCTGTCCCGAGCAGATCACCCAGTGCCGTCAGATAGGGGATGGAGAAGCTATCCGGGTCCTTTCCTTTCCTCCAGAAATGGTGGACCATCCAGTCAGCAATCCACAGCAAGGTAAACACCTAGAAGAGAGCACCAAAGATTACTCCTGTTGCCTGTACAGTCCTAGCCCAGTAAACACGGCCATAAGCCTGAGCCACTGCTCTCTGAAGGGAACAGAATGCGTCTAAGTCAAGAACCTCACTGGAAAAGAAGAGTTAATTGACAGTAACATTTTCTTTTCACAAGAAACATACTATGTATTGCTGCAATTAATAAAGTTTTTCTTCAACTTGTCACATATACCTTCTCATTTTCTTCTAGGCTTCCCCAAACCACCATGTTCCTTATATTTAATAGTATATTGTACATTTTGCCAAATCACTGTTGTTTCAACTTCTTCCTATATGATAAATCTGTGAAGAAGGAAGAAGACATACAAAGAAGGAAATAAAAATAAGGAATAACATTCTCCTATTGCAGGTGCCATCAAATAAAAAAAAGATGGAGAACCGACCATTTACTTACTAATTATAAGGCCATTGGTGGCTAGTCAAGGAAAACTTCGGTTCAATGGTAAGAACAGTCACCAGAAGGTAAGTGCACTGAGGAATGACTTGTTGATAGATACAGATATATTTATAGATAGATAGGGTCAAAATATTTCAAAGGGCTATTCAAACACTAAGGTGATATAAGTAAGTATTTTCTAGGATATCATGAATATTAAGACCTTTGTAATGCTTTGAATTTGGGGATCAGATAAATGATTTTTTTTTTTCATCCATTTAGAGTAAGAGGATTCTCTAGTTTTCAAACAGCTAAAGTATTAAAAGGGATTTGGGATTAGAGAGGTTAACATTCACTGGTTTGGGACAAGTTGGCAAGTACAGGATACTGGTTAAGAGCATATCTCTATACCTGCTGGCTAACTATAGGCAAGTTACTTAACCTCTTTATGTCTCTAAATGAACATTAGAGATGATAATGGCATCTACTCTCATGAGCACGTTGTGAGGATTAAATAATAGACTGAGTAATTCAGTGCCTGGCACACAATACACTTTCAACAGACGTCTGCCATTAGTTGATTTTAACCGTGTCATTGCTATTACTTTGCTATTTGTGGTAGTGAGAACACTGGTACGTAAAGGAGGAAGCCCGCCTAGGTCTAGCCGAGCCCAGGGTCTGTGACCTTTTACTACTCTGACAAGTAGGCCATGAAGGTGAGGTGTCTGCCTTGGGTTCCAAACTTCTGTGCTGTGGTTTAGCTCTGACACCTTTTCCAGGAAGGATGGTGGCTTGTCCAAGCTAAGAACCATATACTTAATCCAAAGGAGGGAACTTCACATGTCTTTGGACATCAGTCAGAGAGAGAGGTTGTACTTTTAAGTCCTGTTTTCTTTTGTAGGAGGCTGGTTCTTCCTTAGTGTTTCATGGCAAAGGCTGTTTTGGAATCATATTGTCCTGTTCTTCAGGACAATCTGCTTTGCGTGTGGAGGAAGCACGGAATGTTAGAAATAATCCTGGATTTGGAAGTCATAAGATCTGGATTTGATTTCCACTTTGGCCATTTATCAGCTATATGACTCTGGGCAAGCTTCTTACCATTAACCCTCAATTTCCTCATTTGAGGAGAACAAAACCAAAATGGGCCTCATATCTGCCATACTTACTTTGAAATAATTAATAAGAGCCTCAGTTTAGGAAGATGAAGAGAAAGGTAAAAAGGCAGCACAGTCTCAAGTTACATTAATAAAAGCACAGTGTACAGACCGAGAGAGTGTCACCCACTGGAGCCTGGATGGGTCAGGCCACACCTCGCAAGTGTGTTAGGAATTTGTTCACCCCTGTGCTTCCGGCACCTAGCAGAGTGACTAGCTCACAAAGTAGACCCTTGATATCTGACTGATGGCATAAAAATCAGCGGGAGACAAGGTCATTCATATAAGAGACTCCTATGAGAACAAGAACTGTTTGTCCTGGGCAAGGAGGGCAGGAGGTGTAAACTTAAGAAGGTTATTGTTTCAGGAGACACTGGCTTATAACACACAGTGTCATAGGGTAGAGCTTTAAGGTAAAGGGTAAAAGTTACCAAAAGTTACCAAAACAACTTAAAAAAAAAAAAAACCAATTTGGGCTGTCTATATATGTAACAAATTATGTAGTAAACTCTGTATTACTGGAGTATATGAAGGTTCAATAAAGAAATTTTTTGATTGTGTAAGTAATATGTGCTGGAGGAAACAAAATTTTTAAAGAGAATGAGGGTAGCTATTTTCTCTGGGATTGGCAGGAAATACAAACAAATAAATCCATATTGTATATTTTTTATAACATTATGTATTTATATATTAATAATATGAGTATATTTATATAAATTTATATAACATACATCATACATATGTGATATATAATTTACTAATTCGTGGTATAACATTTACACTGAATGGGAGATTTGTCTAGAACGGGGGTTGGCAAACTATAGCCCATGGGCCAAATTCAACCTGCTGCCTGTTTTTTGTAAATAAAATTTTATTGGAACACAACTCTACCCATTTGCTTACTTATTGTGTATTTAGTCTATTATTTAATCCTCACAACCTTCTTATTAAGTAGGTACTGTTATCATCTCTAATGTTCACTTGGAGAAGGTGAGTCAGAGAGGGTAAGAAAACTGTTTTAGTACTACGATGACAGAATTATGTAGTTGGGACAGAGACCATATGGTCCACAAACACAAAATAGAGCTAAAATGGCATCCTTACCTCATACTCCCAAATAAATTCCAGGTTAAAGACAAATATAAAAAGCAATACTTGGACTTCCCTTGTGGCACAGTGGTTAAGAGTCCACCTGCTAATGCAGGGGACACAGGTTCGAGCCCTGGTCTGGGAAGATCCCACATGCCGTGGAGCAACTAAGCCCATGGACCACAACTACTGGGCCTGTGCTCTAGAGCCCGCAAGCCACAACTACTGAGCCGGCGCACCTAAAGCCCGGGCTCTGCAGTAAGAGAAGCCACCATAATGAGAAGCCCGCGCAATGCAACGAAGAGTAGCCCCCGCTCGCCGCAACTAGAGAAAGCCCGCGTGCAGCAATGAAGACTCAACGCAGCCAAAAATAAATAAATAAATTTATTAAAAAAAAAACAAACAAATATCTGCCTAGGCATATCTTACCAAAAAAAAAGCAATACTCAAAAAGTTTTATAAGAAAATGTAAGAGAAGGTCTTTAAGACCTTGATGTAGGGAATGATTTCATAAATAAAATGCATAATATATTAAAGGAACTGTTTATAACTTACATTAAAGATTCCTGTGGTTCAATAAATACCATAAATAAAGTTAAAAATCATTCCCCAGGCTTGGAAAAAAATCTCTTCACTACACATAACTGACAAAAAAATTAGTATTCAAATACTAAGAGAATATCCAGAGAACTCCTACAGTTCATTAGAAAAAGAAACAATCCAACAGAATAGAAGAGGGAACCTAAAGCTCTAATAAACATGAAAAGATGCCTGACCTCACTAGTAATATGGGGATGTAAATTAAAACCACACTAAACTCCGTTTCATATCTATCTGACTGGCAGAAATCACCTTTTAAACAACAATAATAGTGAACCTTGTTTTTGAAATGGACCTTTATGGGGCCATGCGGTATTCAAAGAGGTTAACGTGTATGAACTGATTTAATTTTCAAAACACCTCTGTAAAATGCTATCGGTTTTTACTATCCCTCTTTGAGGTACGAGGAAACAAAGGCATTTGTAGAGTATAGGAAGTCTGCCCAAGATCACGCAGCTCACAGGGAGTCAGGCTCAAACTCATCCACTCAAGTTTAGTCTAACACTAAAGCCCAAGTTCTCATCCATCAGTGACGTACATTGTCTTGGTAAAAAAGAACTCCACGTTGGCAACATTCACAATTATTAATACTTTGGAGAGCAATGTGGCACTGCGTGTTAAGTGTGAAGATGTGCAGCTCCTTAGTTCAGCAATTCCACTAGAAACAATGATTTTTTTCCCTCTTGCAACCCTAAAAGGGTAAAACTATGTAGGCTAAAGGAGGCTAGCCTAAGGGGCTCTGCTGGGCCCAGGTCCCATGTGGCTACCCAAGGACAAGGAAGACCAATATCTTGGTGTACTATACGCATGCATACTAAGAGAGATGTGCAAGGATATTCACTGCATCACTGTTGTAAAAGCCGAAAATAGGAAATAACCTGAAATGTCTATTGAAACAAGAAGGGCTAAGTTAACTCTTAGGTCATACAACTGAACACTTATATAGAAGCTAAAATGAATGAAAAAGAGAGACTTCCCTGGTGGTGTAGTGGATAAGACTCTGCGCTCCCAATGCAGGGGGCACAGGTTCGACCCCTGGTCATGGAACTGGATCCCACATGCATGCCGCAACTAAGAGTTCTCATGCCACAACTAAGGAGCTGGTGAGCTCCAACTAAGGAGCCCTGGAGCTGCAACTAAGGAGCCTGCCTGCTGCAACTAAGGAGCCCATGTGCTGCAACTAAGGAGCTGGCAAGCCACCACTAAGGAGCCTGCCTGCTGCAACTAACACCTGGTGCAACCAAATAAATAAATATTTGAAAAATAAATAAATAAAATGAATGAAAAGAGCTACATGAATTAATATGAGTATGTCTCAAAAGCGTAAGGCTGAATGAAAAAAGCAGTATAAATAAATGATTCTAATAAGGTTTATAAATATTAAAAACAATACGTTATTTATAGATACACACATCTGTAGCAATAGTATAAAAACATGCATGGCAACGATACATACCAATTTAGAATGCTAATAACTGCTAGGAAGAGAATGAAATAAGACCAGGAAGGGATATCTAGAGGCACCAACCATAGGTATGATGTATTTTTATTGAGCATTTTGAAATAGTTGCTTAAATAATTTGCTAATGGTTGATAAAGCTGGGTGGTAATTACATGGTTATCTTATTTCCTATCATTTCCTGTACATTTGTGTTTCGTAATACAAAGTGTAACCAGCTGGGGCAGCGGTAGCTCACTGACCAGGGCTGCCTGGGCTACTACTTAAATAC